ATCCTCAGCACCACATACAAACAAAGATGTTGTGTCCGCTGATAAAATAAAAAAATAAATCAATATTAAAAAAAAATAAAATAAAGCACTATGGATTGAGAGACTTTTTTTTGTTTTGTTTTGTTTGCACTGGGGACTAAACCCAGAGGCTCTCAACCACTGAACCACATCCTCAGCACTTTGTATTAAAAAAAAAAAAAAAAAAATAGGGGGCTGGGGTTGTGGCTCAGCAGTAGAGCACTTGTCTGGCACTGCAGGGCCCTGGGTTCGATACAAATCAATAAAATTAAAGGTATTGTGCCCAATTACAACTAAAAAATAAATATAAAAAATTTTAGGTGCACACAATATCTTTATTTCATTTTTATGTGGTGTTGAGGTTCGAACCCAGTACCTCATGTGTGCTAGGCAAGGGCCCTACTACTGAGCCACAACCCCAGTCCTACACTTTTTGAGACAGGCCGTAACACTCTCTTAAGTGTGTTAGGGCCTCACTAAGTTGCTGAAGCTGGCTTTGAACTTGTGATCTTCCTTCTGCTTCAGCCTCCAGAGTCACTGGGATTACAGGTGTATGCCACAGTGCCCAGTGGGAGACTTGCATTTTTTTAAATTCATTTTTTAAAAATAAAATGTTAAATACTAAGGACTTTGCTTGATTATTCTCTAGGAAGTGGAGCACAGGGCTTTTTGGCATGTTGGGTCAGTGCAGGGGTCAGATTCCTGGCTGAGTTATGGGAAGAAAGGCAGCTGGGGGGATGTGTGGTTTCCTCCAGGGAGGCTGTGAAAGTCAGGTTGACACTGTGCCAAGGGCAGTTGGTCTTGGACAAGTGACACCTTTATTGTTTCTGGAGCAGAGTGTAGGTGTCCTGATAAGGATCCTAGGGATCAGATTCATACCTCTGCCCCCCAGGTGGGAGATGGGACAGTGGAACAGAGAAGTTACACCCCACCTTCACCCCCTCTGGGGGAAAGAACTCTCCCTGCGTATCCACCACGTTTCATGGGCCTAAATACCAACCACCAAAGAAAGACAAACCTTTGCTCCTCTTGAGGCCCAAGGAACTAGTGGAGGAGATGAAAAGATAATTTCAGATGTAAAGCACCAAGAATAAACGGATAGATGGAGAGTATGCTCCGGAGAAAAACTGGCCTGCTGTGGACAGGGCAGCTTGGGTGAAAGGCTTGGGACAGTGATTGCAAAAGCCCAACGAAAGAACAAACTGGAGTCTTAAGAGAAAAGCTGCCTACCTGCCTTCTGTGGCTGAAGCAAAGACCGCCAGCAAACTGTGGGGCTGCGTCTCAGAGGTGAGTGGGTAGGGTTAGGGCTTAGCGCGTTAGGGCATGGGACTGGATTTTAGGAGAGATGGGTCCTTTGAAAAGGGTTTTCAGGGGCTGTGGCTGTGGCTCAGCGGTAGAGCGCTCCCCTAGCACGTTTGAGGCCCTGGGTTGGGTCCTCAGCATCAAGTAAAAATAAAGAAAATAAAGGTATTATATATATGGGGTTTTCAGCCGATGGCTGCTCTCATTTTGTCTGTTTGGAGGTGGGATCTCCGACGTTGCCTAGGTTGGCCCCTAACTCCTGGGCTTAAGCAATCCCCCTCCACTCCACCCCACTAGCTGAAACTACCCGGGCCGCCTCTGCACCCCGCTTTGGAGGGTTGCTTTCCTAGTATGCTTAAAAGACTACTGCGGCCTTTTTGAGAGATGCATCCTTGGTTCTGTCCTGTTACCAACGGCCAAAGGGACAGCAAGCTGACAGACTCGAGAACACTTAGCCTGCGCAGGAAATTATCATCCAATCTCCGGGCGTCTCGGCCCCTCCCCTGCCATCCGAGGGGCGTGGCCTAGGCGGCGGCGGCCCCGCCCCCCGCAGTCCGGAACCCGCGCGCTCACTGCCGGAGGTGGCGGAGATTCGCCCGCTTCTGTGCGCGTCCATGGCCGCCGCGCTGCTCGCCGGGGCCTGCGGCCCCCTTCGCGGAGGTGAGTGTGCCTGGGCTGCGCACCGCCAGGCCGTGACCCCGGCCCGCCGAGCCCGCGTAGGTCCAGTCAGCGTGTCCTGCCCAGCAGCGGGTGGACGGGCTGGCCACACCCGCTCCAGAAGGCCCGCGACCTTTGCCCCAGTTCAGCTGACCCTGGCGCCCGCCTGACCTGACCCTTCCCCTGCTGCCGTCCAACCCCCAACCCCTGGAAGCCCCTACTTTCAACCCATTTCGCACAGCTTGCGCCTACACTCCTGCAGAGTCCCAGGTCCACCCTTCCTCTCGTGCCAGGCCTGAGAACTACTTCATCAGTGACCTTGGACAAAACAGTTAGTTCCTTGCAGCCTCAGTTGGCCCAAGTATGAAATGGCCACAGTGTATTACTACTATTCTCATAATTGTTGGAAGGATTAAATCACAGGGTTTATAAATTACTTAGTACAGTGCCTGGCACATAGCAGGTGTTCCTATATAATGTTAATTGTTGATTGTTTAATATAGTACCTTTCCCATCATATCATTTGTCTCCAGGTGTATCGGCAGTGACACACATTTGGCTGAATCAGATTTTAACTGATCCACAGATCTAGTAGATCTCTCCCTAATAACAATAAGGAGACTATGCAAAGTGCAACTGTTAGTATTTCTTTAATCCTCCCTCTTGCAGGAGCTGAGGGTTATTGTGCCCACATTTTATAGATACTGAGGCTCAGGCTTGGTATGGTGGCTCATGTCTGTAATCCTAGCAACTCTGGAGGCTGAGGCAGGAAGGATCACTACTTTAAGGCTAGAGCCTCAGCTACTTAGCTAGATCCCATCTCAAAAAGTGTGGGTGATATAGCTCAGTGGTAGAATGCTCCTGGGTTCAATCCCCAGTTCCAGGAAAAAAAAAAAACAAAGAAAGAAAGGAACTGAGTGTTTAAACCCTCTTCTAAAGTCATGGAGTTGTAGTCTTATTATATTTGGTGTCATATTGAGCATTGAATAAAATGGAAGTGTCTGGAAAGTATTTAGTTAGCTTGGGGTTTTTCCGCAGTAGCACTATTGCATTTGGGCTGACATTTTTATGTATGTATTTCTTTAGAGAGGATTCTTGCTATGTTGTCCAGGCTAGCCTCAAGTTCTTGGGCCCCAGTGATCCTCCTGCCTCAGCCTCCTGAGTAACCGGGACTATAAGAGCTCTGTCACCACACAAGCATGATTCATTCATTCATTCATTCTTTCTTTCTTTTTTCTTTTCTTTTCATTTCTTTTCTTTCTTTCTTCTTTTTTTCTGTACTGGGATTGAACTTGAGGCTGGCACATACTAGGCAAATGTTCTAAATAGAGGTACATCTCTAGCCTTTTTATTTTTTTGTCTTGAGACAGAGTCTTGCTAAGTTGCCTAGACTGGTCTTGAGCTTGTGATCCTCCTGCCTCAGCCTCCTAATTAGCTGGAATTACAGGCATGTGACCCCCTCCCTAGCTCCATAATTCTTTCTTGTGGGGGTTGTCATGTGCACGGTAGGAACTCTGGCCTCTGCCCACTGGATACCAATAGCATTTCTCCTTTAGTTGTAACAACCCAAAATATATCCGGACATTGCCAGATGTCCCTTGGGGATTAAAATTTTCCCTGATGGAGAAGCTCTTAGTGAGTGGATCATGATTATTGTTATTAACAATTATTATTGCTATTATTATTACTCAAGATCTCTTTCATTCGCTTTCTACTGACTCCTGCTATTCCTGCTGGCAGCTCTCCATGCTCGGGTCTGGCGGAAGTTGCACACTATCTACCAGTCTGTGGAACTGCCTGAGACACACCAGATGTTGCGGCAGACGTGCCGGGACTTTGCTGAGAAGGAGCTGTTTCCCATTGCAGCCCAGGTGGACAAGGAACACCTTTTTCCGGCTGCTCAGGTGAGCGCACCAACCACAGCAGCCCATTTTGGCCATCTGCTCTCAGATGACTGGTTACAATGGGGGAGAGGTGACAGTGACAGCCAGAGGCTCTAAGAGTCAGGGAACCTCAAAGGAAGGCATGGGACCCCAGAAATGCTCTGAGTTCACCATGAGGCCTTTAGCTAGGATTCCACTTCCAGAACAATACTAATCAATAACAGGTGGTCAGTATGCTTTAATGCTCACAGGATGGTGGCCATGTGCCTTCCTCACAAGGGTCCTATGGGGCAAAGGTGTTATTATTATATCCCCATCGTAGAGCTGAATGAGGCTCAAGTTTATGAGCAGGTTAGATAATGTACCCAAGGTCATGGGACTAATCAGCTGCAGAGTTAGGTCTTTGTCCCAGGTCTCACTTCTCTCAAGCCTTGAGAACCCCACCAATAAGTGCCTTCCCATGTTCTATTTATGCTCAGTCCATATGCAACGAAATGTTTAAGCTGTTACCAGTGCATCCCTTGACCTAGCAAGATGGCAGGAAAATGGTATAAACACTTAATAGGTACTTGTTGAATCAGTGGTTTGTGAAAGTACAAGTGTTGGGTGCTAATCACATGCCTGTAATCCCAGCAACCTGCGGAGGCTGAGATAGTGGGATCACAAATTTAAGGCCAGCCTCAGCCATTTAGTGAGACCCTAAGCAACTTAGTGAGACCTTGTCTCAACATAAAAATATAAAGGGCTGGGAATGTGCCTTAGTGGTAAAGCACCCCTGGGTTCAATCCCTAGGACCCCCCCCCAAAAAAAAAAAAACCCAAACAAATGTTTCTTTCCTGTTTTTCAGTCAGAGTAATTTCAGAGTTGTGGTCCCCATGTACATGTCCTGCAGGTGCTGGAGCTGCTCTTCCAGCTTAATGAATGTGGTCATTATATTGGGCACTGTGCCCGGACGGTGGGAAGACCCAAGGAGCTCCAAGCTGAATACACAAGTGGCATTCTAGGTACCAAAATCAGCTGGGCATTTTGTAGGTATTAGACATGTCAACTCCTTTAATCCTGAGGAAATCCCTACTTACTCCATGTTGCTTTCTGGAATGATTGCCATGATGAAGTGAGATCATGTTTCATGGATGCCTGGTACCTGGTACTTGAACAATGGTAGTTATTAATATGATAGTTGTTATTTTTATTACTCTGTCATGCAACCAGCGCTGGCTTCATGAAAGAAAGTTCAGTTCATAAGTAATTGCTATGGAGTTTTAAATTAAAGAGACAAGACTCTCATTACCTTTTATACCAGCTCCAAGACGGCTTCTCCCAGCTCCCACCTCCAGCCACCTAATGCGGTGGCGAGGTTTACAGAAGAGACTAGTGAGAGAGAGAACACGCCAGGGAGTGGGCTTTTATTGGGGAACAAAAAATTCCAGGGAAAATCCCATCCAATGAAGGTTAAGGGGGGCAGCATCCCAAGGTCAGGGGCCAGGCACGCCTCTGCACAAGCCCTCGGACCTGGGAAAGGGTGGGGAATAGCTCTGACATAGCTAAGTGCCTCTGACCCAGCCAGGGAGGTAACTCAGTTCACATGTGAGGATGACCTCCTACACATTACCGTTGAGAAAATAGAAGCCTAGAGAAGGGAAGTGACTCTCCTTTCAAGGTTTGCTGGTGTTTGGAGCTAGGCTTCACAACCCAAGTCTGGCTGGCTCCAAAACCCTTCCTTCACCATCCGTGTGGTTGTCCCAGAGGCCCAGCTGGCAGACAGGGAAGCCCCATGCTAGTTGGGAATAGTGCCATCTAGACTTCGTGGTCCCTGCCCTGCCATACTTACCACACTGTCGGAGACCAGCTCCAACAGGGGGTCTCAGGAGACGAACGGATGGTGAGGAGTCGGCGAAAGAGGGGGTGGAGAAACAACACAGACACCAAAGTGAAGGTGTTGATCCCAATCTTTACTTGTGACGTTGATCATATATACTTTTCATTTTGGCAGGCTTACAGTATTTTGTGGTTACAAAACAGGAATCATTATTCAAACAAAACAAAATATTACGTAGCTACAATTACAGTAGAATAATGTATCTTGGCTTATGCATAAGCAAGCATTTGTACTTTCAGTTCGCGTTTTGCTTTGAGCAGTTTCTGCTTAGTTAACTTTTAATAATAGTTACAAATGTCCCAAACTATTGGCCTATACCTTGACTATTCTTTCTTGACTTACTGACTGGAACCGGTGCCATGGTTACGGCAAGGGGTTGACTTGTTATTACTTTTAATCAAACAAAAGTAAGAGCACAAACCATTGTGCACAGGAACAAGAACAAGTTGCCCAGTACTAAGCACTAATCTATCTTCTTAACATTAATTTTTCTTCTCTAGATTTTAATTTAATTTCTCAAAAACTTCCTTGACAGGAATACAGGGAGTTTTTCTGTAGACATTAACAATTTACACTCCACAGCTGAATCATTGCATTTAGAGCAAACAGATCTATGCTTTAGAAGTAGTTACATTAATTGGGAAAGTCATGATTTTTCCTTTATACTTAATGGTCATATGAGAAATCAAAACTATACTTATTAAAGGAATGCAAAAACAAATCAGCCCATTCCCAGAAACATACTGCGCTCCTCCAGAGGATGGACGCCTTGCGCCATCCACCTCAGTAGGGCCTTGCCATTGCCTGAGTCAGGGGAGGGGCGCAGCACCACACACATGCTCTCAGTGACCTCGACTTTTAGTGCCTTTGTGGAGATGTGCAAAAAGGCAGATTCTTGGTGAGGAGAGAAAGGGGAGATATAGACGGGCTTGGTGCAACAGCAGCAATTTAGGCCTTCAAGGCCCAGCTGTGTGTTGGAATCTTCCTGCCAAGTGACAGATGGCCTGGTTTATTTTTCCTATATTGTGCTCTCTCAAATTATTACCAGTATCACAAACATAGATATTTGCTCTTTGCAAAACAACTGGTGAGAGAAGCAAAACTTTTTACCAGCCTATTCTTAACTAGTTCTCTAGCTTTGTGCTCTCATGCTTGCTCTGTGGGGATGGGGACATTGCAAATTCATCCTTCCAAATTGTGGCAGTAATGGGGCTTGGAGGAGATAAGGGACCACAGCCTCTCTTCCTTCTGGCATGTAGGAGGGGACTCTGGAAGGATTTCCTCAGGGCATGAGGGTAGCTGAGTGGGTGATAGCATCCCTGTTTGGTTTTATTATGTACAAGGTGTTTGCATATCTGTGACCTCTTTGCTCTCCTTTGCCTCTGTTTGCAGGTGATATGTGCATTCTCTCTGGTTGTAGAGCTAGGGAGGAGGAGTGCCAGGCCTTCTGATCTGGCCAGTGTACCACATGAGCAAGGCGCTTGTTTGGTGGCTGATGGATGCATGGGTTATTCCTCAATGTTTGCTTCTCTCATCTATGGCCTAACACTTTTTGCTTTTATCCCTGTTACTATGTATGGTGCCAAGCGCCCAGTAATAGAAGGTAATTCAGGATAAGGCAGGCAGAAGACTCAAACAACTAGACACACACAAATCATATGGCATATCTGCAGAATTCTGTATTACACATGAATGTCTCAAAATCATAATAGAAGCAGCTGGTAGTGTGGCTCAGTGGTAGAGCGCTTGCCTAGCTTATGCAAGGCCCCGGGTTCCATCCCCAGCATCACAGACACATAAAAACCAAAATATCATACAAAAACCCAAAATCATAATAGTAATAACATCGGTAGCCAAGATTTGGAGGCTTGTATATTCCAGGTGTATATCCGTATATTAACTTATTTAATCTTTAAGACTACAGGATAAGTAAGCACTTAATTATCTCCAGTTTTCAGATGAGGAAACTGGAGCTAGAGGGTAAGTTTCTGACTCAATAGTGGTACCGTTGGTAGGTGAGGAGCCAGCGACTGGCTTCGGAACCACCCCCTGCCTACAATTTCCTTAGTGATTTCTGGTATTTTTCCCTAAAGAATTTTTGTTCCCCCAGAAAAGGAGACTTATGAGGGAAGGGTCAAGGGGAAAGGAATTGCGAGGAGGTTACTCCAAGAATTAGGAGAAAGGCTAGTGCCAATTGGTGATCAGTGTGGCTAGTTTTGTAATCTTAGTTGATCTTTAGTCTTTTTATGTGCAAACCAACAAATGAAAGAAACAATTATGAATTCATAAGGCCATTTTGATATAAAGGGGATTAGGAAACAGAATGGTATCCCCAACAAATTTTGGACTTCTTAACCTTGAATATGTATCTATATGTATAAAACTGAAGCCACTTTCCTCTCATTCACTTGGTGAATTATGATTGAATAAAGCAAAACCTGCTTTTCCTTCTCTTGCTTTGTCTCATATAATGGTAAAGCCACATAGATACTTCTAGATCACACTCCATTTTTCTTCTCCCTCCTGTCCATTAATTCCACCTGGAAATGTTGTCCTGCCACCTTCTCTCATTTCTTCCAACCAGAACTAATTTCTCTGTCCCAAGGGCATTTCATTTGAAATTCATAATCCTCTGGGTTCATCACATTACACTATTTTTTTGTTTTTTAAGTCCCAGGGATCAATCAAATGCATCAGTCTCTACCATTGAGGCGAATCCCTAGCCATTTTTATTTTGTATTTTGAGACAGAATCTCACTAAGTTGCTGAGGCTGGCCATAGTCGTTATCCTCCTGCCTCAGCCTCCCAAGTTACTGGATTACAGACATGTGTCACCATGCCCAGCTTGCATATATCTTTTTTTTTTTTGTAGATAGACACAATATCTTTATAAATTTATTTTTATATGGTGCTGAGAATCGAACCCAGGGCCTCATGCATGTGAGGCAAGCGCTGTACTACTGAGCTACAACCCCAGCCCTGCATAGGTCTTTTAAAGAATATATATTTTTTTTAAGAGAGAGTGAGAGAGGAGAGAGAGAGAATTTTTTTAATATTTATTTTTTATTTTTTGGCGGACACAGCATCCCCGTTTGTATGTGGTACTGAGGATCGAACCCAGGCTGCACGTATGCCAGGCGAG